TTCCAACAAATCTCAACAGGAATGGTCCAGAAAAGCTAGCCTTCTAGTCCGTTTCTTGCGATATATAAACGGCGTCCAACCTGGTGCAGCTCCTGGACCCCTAATTCTTTGGGTACAGGTATGCGTTCTGAGTACAGCTCTACATGCGGCAGAAGCGTGGCGGCCGGGTCTTACTCGAATAACCTCATTGCGAGATAAAGAAGTTGGCACTGGAGTAGGCTGGCACATATCTCTGCTGGACAAAAGGATGAAGAAAGCTATCCAAGTAGCACTCTCAGCGTGGCAAACCACTCCAAACAGTGCTCTTTATCGTGAAGCGAGAATATCCCCGGCACCTATCATTCTCAAGCAAAAATTGCTGCGGTCTGCAGCTCGCATTCGAAGAATGAATGCTTAGTGTCAAGGGATAGAGTGAATTGAGGGAAGTTACTGTCACGTGATTTAACGCGTCTGATACGCGATTCACGATGTACATATTTTTACAGGACTCAATAGGATGCTCCTTTCTTCTTTGTAGACAATTTCAATCACCAGATTAGACCTCGTCAATCTACTTCATGACCTTCCCCAGACACCTAGCACCCTTTTGCCCTTCGGGCGGCTGAGGACCCGAAAGAGACAGTAAGACTCCTAGGTCTTAGACCGAGACAAATAAATCGCTTGTTCAGACAACTTGGACGGTACATGACACGCCTGAAAATGAGTGTGCGTCTAGTTTCGACAGCCTAAGGCCCTGGAAAGCTATAATTTCCACGCGGCACCCCAGCGCTGACTTCATGTAGTCGAAAAAAAAAAGCTAGGTATAGAAGCATAAAACGATGGTTAGCTTCTCTTCCAGCTGGAATAGTCAGTACTTTCTCTCATGGATGGTCATCAGTTCCCGGAAAATCAGCCTGGGGTATGTTGCACACCAAGGAGGTAAGCCAGCTGGGAGTGGTGTTGGAATGAAATAACAATTGTTATACTAATAAAGACTTAACAATATCACAATACACATTTCCAGTCAGATAAACACCATTCATAGTCCACGAGTGATCCAGCTCTGTAGAGCCAACACTGATATCTTCTACTCGTGTCCTAAACTGGGCGAGTGATCTGTTATCCCGCCTCTCGTTTAATATCCAAAGGTCACCATCACGTGACCTGGACCTTCCATAACACAACATGTCAAGCAGACTTCCTGTCCAACCGGTCACCACTAACAGTCAGGTAAATATGTGACCCATACGTTAACTACCTCGTAGTAATAATTTATATATTCAGTCTCAACAAGTGGTTCTGGTCCCCTTCCTGGAACAGAGGTATTAGACGCGGAAGTTGTAGGCGCCATGAAAGCCTTGGAGACTGCAGTAACGGTGGGAGAAGACCTGCCAATTCATATCCTTCTGGATAGCCTAGTGGCCACGCGGGCGCTCGACCGACGAAAATCTAATTCCTCGTAGGCAGTGGTGGACAAGTTTTGGTCGCTATAGCATAAAAAGCGTGTGGGAATACGCTGGATACCTAGTCATAAGGGGATCCCGGGCAATAAAGAGGCCGATAAGCTGGCCAAATCAGCCTATGGAGCTCTCAATAACCGGTCGCTAATCTCAGCTGCGCCTAGTGGAGAAGATCAAAATCTAACCTTTGCGGCATTAGGGATGTGGGTTAAAGAGCACGGCAAAGAGCTCGTGGAGAAGTGGTGGCAGAAGTGTCGATCGAAGCGATACAAAGATCCGGGCCTCTGCATTCGCTGCAAATGGATACTGGAACTGGTTCTACCGAGATGGGTGTACCACCGTCTTATGGCGGCAAGGACAAGCTGCAGGGACTACGCCGAATACCACCGGCGTTTCAACCCCGAATATGAAGGCTTAAGTACATCCGTGGCCGAGAGATAAGGCCCTGGCAATATTCAGAGTGCCGGCCTGTATGCAGCGTTGGAATAGAATAGAATGGAATTGATTTAAGTTCCTACTGAGTCTATGACTATGATGGACTATGCAGTGTTCGAGATACTGTGGGAATATGGCACCACCTGGGGCCAGGGAAATGATAGGGGAGAAGGGATGGCAGAGGTTTTTCCGACTCCTAACTACAAGCAGATGCTACAGTCTGCCGAAGAATGAACAGGGTGGGAGGTGACGATACTGAGATTATGTCTGACTCGAGAGGAGATGGACTCGGAAGATGGGGATGCGGCGCAGGGCATCGTAACTCAGACATTTAGTGTACCTTTTTTTTCGTTGGTCGCTTCTGGCTTTACTGCCGGTCATGTAGGTAGCAATGAGCTCTCAGGACTCACCGATCCGTCTCACGTCTACATAGTTGTTGGGTCCGAGGGCAAGACTGAATACCTGTACGCGGAGTCCTCTGCGAACCTGGGAGTGAAAAATTCTCCCAGAGCCGAGTTCAGTCAAATTTCGCAGTACAGAACAAGTTGGCCCATGAGGCAATGATTTAAAATACTCCATTGTTGAAATTATGGAGTTCAGAGATGATTCAGGTGATGCTTAATGGAAGTAATTGATGAAGGGTTTGGTTGTTGAGTTTTCTATGATTTCTGTGTTGGGATACACTATGTCGATCCTACTAGGCTCGATAATTAGTAGTCCCGACCGACTGGTGTTTGGCGAACGGAGATTGCGTATACCCTGTGCTAGCGTTGTTTACTGCTGTTAATAGGAGATCCCGCACGGGCTTTTTTTTTTTTTTTTTTTTTTTAAATCATTTAATGTGTATTCAGCTATCTAGCTATGACACATGACCGGCGCTATGTATACATGTGGGATGACTCTTTTGACGTTAGAGACACTCATACTCTGGATTTCATTTGCAAATACCACTATGAGGTATGTTCACTTACACAAACAGTCGACCCTCCTCCGTTAGTACCCACCAAAGGGAATTTAAAAACCTTTGATTATCCAAGCATGCCTTCGTCATCCATGCATACCAGCGCCGCGAGAAATGTGGTTGTGTTTTGCCGGATTCGAACCAGCGATCTACTGTCTCAAGTGGGATATGTGTCCAAGCTATCCAGACTCTACTTGGCAGACCGGCCAAGACAATGTACCACCGCACCATCCAACCATGGCAGTTTTTATAGTGTCGCCTGCACTCTCGCAGCCGAAGACTTGGCACGCACAAAGCTCAATTTGTAAAAACTCCTTTCCAGATTTCAAAATTCCACGCCCGTCGAGACTGTATCCAATCCTCTGCATCATCTTATTAACTTGTCCTGATCCCTCTCACATCCATCCCAAGGAATTATCTTCCAGATTTGTGCGCCACGCTTTGCTTCCTCCGTCGGGTGTAAATATCGGCGTGGGCGTGTATCTGGCGACCAGCTAAGGCCAGAGAAAGTCGACAAGAGGTGTGGTCATTGGGATTAGGATGTACTAGGTCGTACTTGTAAACTTGATGAGGTTTAGGTAGGAATCGATTTCGTTGGGAGTGAAAGATTGATATGGTGGAGTAATTTGAATCATTGCCTCGTGGGCCAACTTGTTCGGTATTGCGAAGTTTGACTGAACTTGGCTCTGGGAGAATATTTCACTCCCAGGTTCGTAGAGGACACCGCGTACAGGTGTTCAGTCTTGCCCTCCCCCGCACGGACTATCTATTGGGGTTAAAAGGAGTCTGGTACCTGTGTTTAACAGAGTAGTCGAATTGACATCCTTTTATCCTTCATTATTGCATAAGCTTCCCTTTACCAATAAGTCCACGAACTAAGTAGTGGGTTATACATTTCAATATCCATGTCAATTTTTCACTCCCAACCACTTCGATTCCTACTCAAGCCTTATCAAGCCTACAAGTATGACCTAGTACATCCTCAATCCAATGACTATACCTTTCGTCGGCTTTCTCTGGCCTCAGCTGGTCACCAATCCACGTCCGCGCCAATATTTTTTTTTTTAAATCATTTAAGTTTATTGAGCTACATAGCTATGACACATGACCGGTTCTATGCATACATATTGGATGACTCTTTTGTCGTTAGAGACATTCATTGTCTGGATTTCATTTGCAAATACCACTCTGTGGTATGCTTGCCAACAAAAACAGTTGATCTTCCTCCGTAAGTATCCACCAAAGGGAATTTCAAAAACCTTTGGTTATCCAAGCATGCCTTCCTCATCCATGCATACCAGCGCCGCGAGAAAAGTGGTTGTGTTTTGCTGGATTTGAACCAGCTATCGTCTTTCTCAAGTGGGATAAGTGTCCAAGCTATCCAGACTCTACTTGGCAGACCGGCCAAGACGATGTACCACTGCACCATCCAGCCATGGCAGTGATTATAGTGTCGCTTACACTCTCGCAACCGAAAGCTTAGCGCGTACAAAGCTCAATTTGTAAAAGCTCCCCGCCAAGATTATATCCATCTTCCACATCATCTTGTGAGCCATGCCTGACTCCTATCACGTCCATCCAAAAGAACTATCTCCTAGATTTGTGTGCCACGCTTTGCTTCCTCCGTCGGGTATAAATACTGGCGACGGTCTGCCAAGTAGATTCTGGATAGCTTGGACACATATTCCACTCGAGACAGAAGATCGCTGCTTCAAATCCGGCAAAACACAACCACATTTCTCGCGGCGCTTTTATGCATGGATGAGGAAGGCATGCTTGGATAACCAAAGGTTTTGAAATGTCCCTTTGGTGGATACTTACGGAGGAGGATCAACTGTTTTTGTTAGCAAGCATACCACATAGTGGTATTTGCAAATGAAATCCAGACAATGAATGTCTCTAACGACAAAAGAGTCATCCAATATGTATACCTAGCACCGGTCATGTGTCATAGCTATGTAGCTGAACACACTTAAATGATTTAAAAAACCCTCTTACGGGAACGTACATTTGGGCCAACTAACAATTACAAACAAGAAGTAACTATTTAAACTTGTAGACACAACAGCATCTTATCCATTGAAAATGTCGGTGCCTTTTTAAAAGCTCGCTACTTTAAGAATTTAATCTTACCCGCTATCTGCTAATACTCAACGACTACTTATTTAGGCCAGCATTAGTTGACGTGGCTCAGTACATAAAGAGATTATTATCATTGGTGCCATTGCATGAATAAACGGACCATTTTGGTCCTGCTCCCGCTGAACGTTCCACTCGATCACCGTGAATCGCCATCCTCTCTGCTGGCACCTACACAGAAAATCTGCAAATGTATTAGGGTTCCTAATCGTTACAGATATTAGTACTTTTGCCTTTGGATAATATCCCAAAAGTACTGAAAGCATCATGACAAGTGCAATTATTCCCTGAATTTCATAAATGATATCTGCACCAAGGATTACATCAATAGTCTCACCCCTTTGTAATTCTGGGAAAAGATACCTATCACCAGGGTGTTCCTCCCATAAAAGTTGCTGACTCCTTATCCTACCTGGATGAAGATTATTTAGTTGAAAGTTGGAATCATGCGTTGAGATGGCGACAGGACAGCCATCGGTCGCAAAAGTGAACGTAGCTCCAAGATAACGAGCGCAAAGTATAGACAAGTATGCAGTACCGCTACCAAGCCTGTAGCAAAAATGGATTAGTTAATTAGTTCAATTTCGACTGATCGGGAGAGAAATGGCACAAGAGATTTACGTGAGCGTTTGTAGAGAATGTAAGCCGGGGTGAAAATATAAAATTCCAGGAGTCTCACTCAAGTACCCGTTTATCTCTTATGATCTCTGGATGTGAACAGAGATAGTCTCCTATATGTAAGGCTGCCTCCCATGTTCGAACCCCTGTAGAGCCATCCGTTGCTAGAATTGTACTCGGCTCACAAATTGTTATAGTTGGTACCCTGAAAAGCAATGGCGGATTGAATAAATTGGAGCAATAATGAGGTGGATCGGAATGAAGGAATTCGGCCCTGAGATTTGACAGCGTATACATGATATCAGACCTCTCAAATGAGGAATTAAGATAGGTGGCCATGTCTGAACTGTATAGATCGCCAAGGACATCCATGAGATTGTCAGATAGGCCCTGAGATATCAGTAACCGTCAGAATAAAAATCTTGAACGAGACGTATATCTGATTGTGTCCATAATCAAATAGAATTTCGTATCGATAAAATTGCTAATTATAAGTCGGGGAGGAAGTGGTCACAGAATAAATCACATACTTCAACATTCCAATCATCAATGCAGGATTCAATTCTGTTCATTAACTCTTTCAAGACTCGAAGCTTATATCGAACTGGGTGCTTGCGGTTGCACTCTCTAGAAAAGAGGTGAGTAAACAACCATTGCTGTACGAAGTCAGGCTTCAATTCGTTTCCATCTGGATAGTCAATTCTCGCATAAAGCTGCAAATATTGACGGACAAAGCGCTCAAGTGTTCGCGACGATTCTACAGAGTAAATTGCTTGTACTCGAGACCTCATCGGCTCTGTAGCAGACGGGGATGTTCCATTATTCTCATTATGACCGTTCATATTGAATTATCTCTTGGGGGGCATTCTCTTTAAGTATTAATTAGAGCTAGAATCGAGCAATATTCTGCACATGTGTTCAAGGACTGCGGATAAGTAAAATTGCTTAGCTGATAAAATTATTTGGGGTGATTTAAACGTATGTCAAAGATATCTCATAACTACCTCTATTTATCAACTGCGACTTCCTAACTCCAAATGTCCATGGTGCCTGCAGCGCTGGGAACTTTCATTTGAGCCTTGAAAGTGATCACATGACCATAGGGCAAGAAACCCTGTGACGACATGACGAGGTTAAGCGATATCCTGTCCATAATTTTGTACGCCGAAACAACACACAACTTCCGTGACCAGTGACTTTCTCCTACAGACTTCGCCAACCCGACAACAGCATCGCAAGCATGGCAGATCGCGAGGCTCCAGTAACGTTGCGGACTAGGAAATTCATTCGAAACGTTTGTCTTCCATCTCCTGAACAAACCATTTTCTACCTTCTAATTATGATCAGCCTCTCCTGGGACGAAAACAAATGGTAGTGTTCGTAATTCCCCCACAAGTCTCAATAATATATCAAATGAGATAAAGAGCCGACTAATATGCATGAATTATTATCCCTGACTGTGATATTCTAACAGAGACATATTACATCCAAACCGTGCCAACATCTCGAAAGATGAACTTCGTGGGAAGCTTGCCGAAATGTACAAGGCCAACAAAGACCAAGTTAATGTATTCGGTCTTCAAACTCAGTTCGGTGGCGGAAAGACAACTGGTTTTGCACTCGTATACGACTCGCCCGAAGCATTGAAGAAATTCGAGCCTCGTCATAGACTCGTCCGTGTAGGGTTCGCAACCAAGATTGAGAAACCTAGCAGACAACAGCGTAGGTTTCACCTTGAATCCATTACAAAATCAAAAGTTACAAGTTTGTTCATATGCTTATACACTATAATTTAGGCAAGCAACGTAAGAATAGGCAAAAGACTCTTCGAGGAACGGCAAAGGTCAAGGGTGCAAAGAAGAAGAAGGAATAGATACCTCGTATCTAGCTAGAAGGCTTGACGGAAGCCTAAAGGTGTTGCGGGAATGAATAAATGGTAAGGCGCTTGTAAAGGACTGGAGGTATGGCTCTCAGAATGCGTTAAGGCTAAAAATATGTACAGATTTTGTAGCCTTCCAATAAATGTCTTAATTTGTTGTCAAATTTGGCTTGCATCTTCGGAACTCGAATAGCAAATATATGTCTACCATAAAAAAATTTAGTTGACAACTACGCAGACATCAATGAATTACATGATAGAAATGTAGATAAATCGAGAAGATCTACCCAGCACTCAGCCATATACTGCAAAATACCAAATTGGAATATAAATCAACATTTAATACTGACACTACGCACATTTGGGAGCCATAAGCTCAATTTTCGAAGGACTATAATACTCCTGATTAACTTGTATATATCACGTGATTATACACTCTAGTGTTCAGTGCCAAGAGGTGCAGTGTACTCAATGTGAAAATGCTCAACTTGCAAAATTTGAATGACCAATTGACTGTATATCCCGCAATAGAGATTGCCAGGCGGCATAGCTTTACTGAGATGAAATTTCCCTGCCCACAAGCTTCAGAAATCACAATTTGTATATTTCCTATTGACATTGTGAAGCCGGACAAAGAAAAATGCTAATCTCAATACGCAAAATTGTGTTTTCGCTCTTAACAGGCTGTGTTTTGAGTATAAAAAGAGAACCTTAACCTATGAGCCGGACGCACTAATTGGTCTCAGATGTAAATTTTCAATCAGATATCGTTGAAGCCAAATCCTTCGACAGTTACTTTTTTACTTGCATGTAAGATATTTCATAACCAACTATGCGTTTACAAACCTTAAGAGCCTTACACAATGTTCATAGCAGTTTTTCATATACATCTCACCTTCATTTGGCTTAAAGGACTCTAGATCTCTTAAACTTGCACCTTTCTGAATTTATGATATAAATCTTCTATATTGTGCGATCACTCTCTAGGAATTAGCATCCTATCTAAACCAAGCTTCGGAAGTTTTGGGCGGACAAGGTATTGATTTTATCTATTACTTTGGAATAGTGGAATCCAAAAGTAGGTGTCCTAAACATGTAGACAATCATCAGACCTGTTTGGAGATATCTTTGTTGTTGGTATGATACGGTTAGTCTCTGTGTTATCACAGGTAATGAGAATCGGTTTGCTACTGCAGAGGTGGCGGCTGATTAAGATATATACACATCTATGCTCTGCAAACGCCACCGAAGCGTCAATACTATCTGTTTCCACTTGTGGGCCTGAGTCATAAACAAAACCTCAGGCCTACCGGAGCAAGTGCTCCGACAGTTGGAGTCCTGTGATAATACTTCTAACTTGAGGAATGTTACAAGTTATAATTCCGATGCAGCTCAACTTGTAGGCAAAGGAGTGAGTTTAGTCAATGTGACATTTTGGTACAAGCCATGAAATTGCACGGCCTCGGTATCTTCTTTGTGCTACGCCCGAGGATTATCAACTGTACAGTTTACATGAGGTAAACGGTCCTGGAGAATTTGAATTCGGTTCAAATGTCAAAACTATTCAACATGACCATACAAAATTTTTTACAGAGATTGGCACCTGGTATTAAGTGATGATCTCGTACAATTGGACCTTTTGTAGGTGTTGTGACTACTCCGAGACGTCCATGAAAGTATCATCCGACTCTGGTTGAATGAATGAAAGTTTATTCGTGAGGGGCACAAGCCCTGCACTCAAAGAGCATGACACGGAGAATACTAGCTTCTCCAACGGCTGTATACAACAACACCTCAGTTTGACATTTGGACTACTCATGTAGTGGGTGCATTCGCTGATACCATTCGAGACCTTGGTGCTAGGGACTTGCACCCTTCCCTCAACCGTTAATAACCACCAAAGGGAAAACAGGAAAAAACTTTGGCTACCCTAACATGCCTTTGCCATCTTGTATATAGCCGCCGCGCGAGATATGGCCTCACAGTCCTCCCTTTCTCGAGTGAGGTAGGTGTCCAGGCTACCCAGACTTTCATTTGGGGAGATGAGGACCAGGAGGCGGACCAAAAGACCCTCCATCGTTATCTATTTTAAGAGTGTCGGTTACACTATCCTAAATCGTTGCCTCGGCGCCCACAGACATCCTCAAGCCGAAAATACTCGAAAAATGTGCATCCAAATATGCCCATTTGTGACCTGGTCACTCATTCGTCCCACGTCCTAGCTGTCTATCTTCCCTCAAGATGTGAAGCCCCATTAGAGCACTGGTCTCCTATAGACCAAGAGCCTGGCTTTGTAAATCGTGAATTAGCTTCCTCCTCGCGAGTATACATAGCATCGTAACTTTGTAGCTGGAGAGGGCCCATTTTTTATGAGGCAAATGCCCGACTGCAATTGGAGTAACGCCATTATCGGTATATGAGGCGAGGTGGTGTAGTAAGATTGAGGTGGAGGACTCGTGTTAGAAAGATAGATCGGACATTGACGAGAAGTCGTCGACTTTAGATGTGCTTGAGGTTGCTTTCAACTTCAACTCGAATGCGATTATTCTTGGCTATCCCAGATATTCAGAGCATACTGAGCGATTACACCGGCATCCGACTCTGGTGTTTGCTGACGTCTTTATCATGGTACCTATGGTTCTCGCTGGGCTGGATGGTGCAGTGGTACATCATCCGGGCCGTTCTTCCAAGTAGATACTGGGTAGCTTGAACACCTACCCCATTCGAGACAGGGGAAAGCTGGTTCGAATCCAGTCAGACCCACATACCACTCTCTCTCGCGGTGATATTGTGCTTGTGGGATGATGAAAGCACACTCGGATAGCCACAGGTTTTTCACGCTTTTCCCTGTGGTGGGTATGCACGGAAGAGGTCATACGCCGTAAGGGTTAACCTCGAGTGGTATCTGCAAATGAAGTCTGAGTGTGAGTGTTCTAAACGTCAAATTGAGTCATCCTACTTAAAGTACATATCTTCCGATAAAAACCTGCATGGGCCTCAAGGCGCCAAATCAGGCAAAATGAATTATATATATGTATATATATATTTGTATTTTGAATATGATTCCAGTTAACCCGATCAGGCATCCTATGTGTCCATGTCGGTGACTATCTGCATTATTTACAAAGGAGGAAACCAATTTGGTGAGAAGCTCCTGATCCTGTCTTTTTATGTTCCTATCAATTTATTTGTTTTACCTTCAGGAAGTGCAGTGTACATTGTTAAGCCAGTGTGGACTCCGTTCTCTCCCCTTCCTGATCGATTCATTTTTCCGACATTGCTGCCTCCACTTCCCCCGCAAGTCGAAACTGTTTTATCCATCCTTTGCTTAGTATCCACTGTGTGATTCGAGCGACATCCTCTGGGCTGTTCATCATTGCTTCAAATGACCTGTCTTAAGCTTGTCGGAGAAAGTCGCCTCTTCCATTTGCCCACTGCGGACACGCCAACACCATATGCTTGACGTTTTGCGACGGATATCCACATTGATAGCTTGGATTTTCTACTACGGGTACTTTTCTTTTGTTCAGGTAAGAATTGAGTCCGATATGCTCGCTCGTTAGCTGAATGGCGACACTGCTTTGGGCCCTGGTTAGGCTACGGTGGATTCTTAAGGGTGTATCTTTAAAGTTCATTTTGACGCCGCCTGTTTGTTTATGTTAGACCCTTAGGGTCGATTGAAAATTTAAAGTAAAGTCTATTGGTGAAAGTCTATCTGTTCTAATCTAAAGAAAAACTACTGTATATACACATGCCTCCTGAGAATATCTACGTGTGATGATGAAATGCATGAGCGTCTTCTAGAAAGTATCAGTCCTGATACTTTCTAGAAACATCGTGGTTCTACTTGAGACTGCCCTTCAAACACCCGAGGAAATACCCCAACCCAAAACATATCTCATTGATGCGCTACGACTCATCAAACGATGTAGTTTAACCAAAGCGATACCATTCATACAATTCCATGTTTGATAGTTTATCAATAAATATATATATATATATATATATATATATGGTTCTCGCTTATGACCTGACCTAAAAGTCACATGACACACAATTATCCTGCTTGGTTGTGTTTTTTATTTTTTTTTATTCATTAACGTGCTAGGTGAAGTAACTACCGTCGCACTCCTACTGGAGCTTGAGCACGAGTGGGATCGGGCCGGATCAGGTTAACTATCGTAAAGTACAAATGCCCCGTCCCACCTAAATGAACGGAACCATGCCAAAATGCATCTATGTGTTGAAACATGACGAGTCCAGCAGCCCAGAATTGAAAACAAACCAAAAACTTTCACGCCAAATCCCGCATTACAAAAGAAAAACTTCAACAATCTCCCTTCCACTGTTCCGCCTCAGCCACCACGCGCCTCAGCCTCGATTCCTATCCCTCTTTCCATGCCAAACCTCCTAGGCCTTTGATCTATCACCTCCGAGTCACAGGTGTCCCTGCCATCCCCCGACTAGCCTCCGCGTATATTCCACTCTCCTGGACGTAGTACCTGAACAGCTGCCATCCCCTTGATCCGAGCATTGTTTCCAGAGCCGGCGCCCTACGCTTTCCGCTTTTCAGCCGCCATGTTGCCAGTGCTTTTCGACACTGGACAAGGTGACCAATTAATTTTTCCCTCCCGCACTCGCAATAGAGTTTGGCGTCAGTGTGGTTGAAGCGGCGATGATATGCCGCAAAGTCCCCATGTACAGTTCGAGCAGCGATTAAGCGGGCGTAGACCGCTCTAGGTAGCGCTAGCTCTGGCGGTTTCTTGCGCCGCATCTCGAGTTCAAGGTCGGCGTATTGTTTTGGGCGATTCGAGTGCCACCAGTCCGTCAACATCTGCCTGGCCACTTCACGGGCTTTCCGTCCTGATGAGGCGAGGGTCATCACACCATGTGTCGTCCTAGAGTTGTCCGGCGAGTTAAGCTCTCTTCGAGCGAGTTCATCGGCGATTTCATTTCCTGCCAGCCCTTCGTGGCTCGGAATCCATCTTATTTTGACAGGCGCGGCTGATCCCGCGGCCAGTTTCACGAACTTTTGGATACGCCAGGATGATGAGCCCGTTGTTCCCGTCAGTAAAGCCTGAACAGCCGCAGAATTGTCGAGAGGGATGTAGATAGCGCTGCGTCCTCGATCTCGATTACTGGCAGTAATTGCTTCTGTAGCAGCCAAAGCTCCATGTACCTCTGCGTCGTAGACCTCCGCATTGGTAATTTTGCCTGAGCCGATTTGCTCAATTGTCGTACCTGTGCCACTGATAAAGGTCACAAAGGCCCATGACACTCTGTCGGTGGACGCCCCAGAACCATCACTGTACACGCAGAGACAGTCGGGTGGGAGTATAGGCAGCCACTCTCTTATGAACTTGGCAGCCTCTTTCTTGCTTGTCCAGCAGGAAATTGGCTGAGGGGGGACCGGAGGTCGAAGCGATGGAGGTAGTTCAGCCTCTGGCAGAAGTCGATACATCCTCTGGACCCTCGAATCATGAACTCTATCCAGACCAAGTCTGGTTTTGTTGCATGTCTTTAGTCCAAGTCGGTGGCGAGCGCTGTCTGTGCTTTCCGTGGCCCGAAGTCGAAGCGGATGGTACTCATCTAGTCTTCGGATTCGTGCAGCAGTCTTGAGCCTGCGTTCCTCGAGCAGAATGTGTGCAGGTGGAATGCCAGTCTCCCTTCTCAGGGCTGCGATGGGCATGGTGCGCCAGGTTGGTAGAGCCACGCGGATTCCGAAGGCAGAAGTTTGGTCAATAACTTTGCACTGTCTCTTACATGAATTTCGCGCGACACCCCGATAGGTTTCCCTGATTGGCCCCGGGTACCACGATTCCGCTGCGTGCATCGCGATTGGCAGGACTACCGTGCGGATCACTGTGGTTAGTAGGTCGGGCCTTGGTCCCTGGGTGCACTGAGTGAGCCGTCGGAAGTGTTGCACTAGCCGCATTGCTTTACTGGTCCACTTTGCGACGTGGCTTTCGAAGGTCAGACCGCGATCAAGGTTTACTCCGAGCCATCGGATATCGTCGGATGCTTGTACATCGCGAGTACCTACCCTTATAACCGAAAGGTCGTGTCCCCTGGATCTAGGGCCCAGGAAATAGACTGCTTCGGCCTTATCTGGGTCGAAAGAGGCGGCATTTTCACCAGCCCACCCGAGGACTGCATCAACCTCTCTCTGGACAGCTGCTGCGGCTTCGTTCGGAGTTGAGCCTATGCCGAGGATAGCAACATCATCTGCATAGCCGAATCTCCAATCACTGCCCCCCACGACTTCGACCATGTAAAGGAGGAAGAGAATCGGGGATAAAGGCGATCCTTGTGGCAGCCCGCACTCTAGGTGAAGTGGGTCTGTTACTCCATCCTCGTGTCTGACACGGGCAGATCGTTCTTTCAGGAAAGACTTTATCCAAGTGATGGCTGGTTTCGGCCACCCAACTTTATTCATCCTTTGCAGCAGTCGTCCGTGGAGTACAGCGTCAAATGCACCCTGTACGTCCAGAGTGACAAGAACTGCTTTCTTCTGCCCCTTCATTGCATACTCCACATCGTGGATAACGCATGAGACAAGGTCATTAGCGGATCTACCGGAGAGTACTCCAAAAAGCTGCTGCGGCACGGCCTTGTACGAAATGGCGGTGTAAGCCATACGCCTTGCAACTAGTCTCTCAAGACCTTTGCCGAGAGATGAGAGTAGTGCAATGGGCCTCCATCCTTTAGCTGTACTGAGATTTCGGCCAGGCTTGGGGAGGAGAATCACTTCGGCTTGCTTTAATGCCTTCGGAGAATGATTCAGTCGAAGTGAGCCCTCAAAGAGTACTCTCACTGCTT